AACTCTCGCCGCAGATCTTTCATCTCTGCCTCATTCTGCTTCAGCTCGCCCTCTAGACCCTGAATCTTGGTGGCGCTGTTGTCCAGGGTCTGCTGGAGCCGTTGGTTTTCCTGGCTCAGACTGCTGTAGTTTTTCTCTAGTCTTTCACTTCTCTTGGCCTGGGAGCGGAGCTCCTCCAGCGTGCGGCACATCTCCTCGTGTTCCCGCTCTAGTTCGGCATGTTCCTGCTGTAGTTGAGCCAGGCGAGCGGCAGCCGGCCGCAGGGTCTCCAAGGCACGTCGCTGCTCCAGGTTCTCCTCCTCAAGTTGCTGGTGATCCTTCCCCAGAACAGCCAAGCGAAGGCTGGTGTTCTGCGCCGCGTCAGCCAGCTTCTTCAGCCGCCTATTGTCTTGTTCCAGAGTAGCGTTCTCACGCTCCAGGGCCTCGGCGCGTTCACTGCCAATCTTTAAGGAGGCAGCTTGCCTCTGTAGCTGTTCTCGGACTCGCTCCAGACGTGTTACCTCCCTTTCCAACTCCTCACAGTGCTCTCCTCGCTCACGGAGAGAGTCAAGCTCTTTAGTCGCCTGTCGTTTCTCAGCCTCCAGACGAGCCAGTTTACTGCCAGTTTCAGAGATGGTCTGGTGGAGAACACGGTTTTCTGTCTCCACCTCCCTCACACGCGCCTCGCTGTTCACCTGAGCACGTTTCCTGAGGGAGTTCATGGCCTGGGTCAGGTGCTCTTTCTCCTGCTCCAACTCTGAGATCTAATAGGCCACACATACAAATAAACAACATTTATGAATGAATAATTCATATAATGTTCTGATCATCATGGGCTTTCTTTCTTTAAATGTTCACCTGTCTGTCTTTATCTGCCTGGATTGTCTCTAGAGTTTTTTCCAGTCTTTGTTTGTCTTTTAGCAGCTCCTCTCCAAGGTTCTCCATGTCCTGAGTTGTCTGTTTCTCCTGTTCCAACTGGGACTGCAGACGCTCCAACTAAAACACACAACACAGAAGAGATCTCATCAGCATTCACTATTCTGGCTCTCAGTTAACATTTAAAGGAAATGCAGAAATTTTATGTACCTTCTTGCTGTGGCTCTGATTCTCTCTTTCCAGTTCCAGTGCGTGCAGGTGACCTTCTTCCATGGTAATGGAGGCCTCTCTCAACTCCTGGATGGTGCTCTGAAGACATTGGTTCTCCTTCTCCAGCTTCAACAGTCGGCTAGATGCGGTCTCGTTCAGCTCAAATACAAATGACTTACGGGCTGTAGTAGTGGATGACCAAAAAAACAATGTAGCTCTTTATTACATATTGACCAGACTAGATGAGGGGCATCAACCAAAGATTGTGCCCTTTTTACTAAAAGTACACCAGCTCCAAGATCTACCAATAATTTATTATAATTGATAATAAATAAATAACGGTATATTAAGTTAGATGTTAAATCCCTTGTTGTTACCCCCCTGTAAAGGTATTAAATTAGCCATTAGCAAACCTTTTGTAATCTTCAGATCTCAAAAACAGATCATTTATATTATCAACTATATATTTAACTATAAATATTTATCAACTATAATCTTTATATTGTTTCTTAAAACTTAAATGTGTCTTGGTAGTATACCACATACTACCACAACCACCGTATAATGATAAAAATCCACAGTGCTTTTTTTATTTTTTTTTATTTTTAATCTCCACAAATCATAAGCACTTTTTCCAGAGCAAGCGGTTCACAGATTCAGGGCAAAGTGACGTCAGTTTGCCCAGGCCCCTCCCATGACTGTTGACGGACACTGCCATTTTAGTATAGACACGCCCCGAGTGAGCTGTAAACAGTCCACCATTGTTTTGATGCTGGAGCAGATGTAGACAAGAATGTCTCCTAAGCGATTGAGGTGTTCTGTTGTTGATGTACTAATGAATATAGCAGTCACCATTTACTCCCGACATCTGAGCAGCTGAAGACGTAGTGGATTACTTTTGTTTTTGAAGGGAATGCTTTCCCGATCTTCCTAAATGTGTTTATGTTTGCGCAATTCATTTTATACCAGACTGCTTTGTAAATGAGGGTCAGTACAAAGCAGGTTTTGCTAAAAAGTTGTTCCTGCAAGATGGATCGGTACCAACTGTTCATGATCTAGCTTCACCACCAGAAGAAGTGAGTATACGTTTTTATTTATGAATATTTGCAAATCGCCTTTCCTAATAATGTGCTAGTTAGCAAGTTCCATGACAAACACGACTAAAATTAACAGTCTCACACCGTGTCTACACCGGATGCGAGTGGCGCAGTGCAACAAAATACTGTAGAACTCATTATAATCAGTGATGCTGTCTACACTGGATGCGGCGCGACTGACAAATCCCCGAGAGTAAACTGCTGCCTCATTCTATTCATGACGTACTGACACAAAGTTCAAATGATTTGCAACGAGTGCTTTGTCGTGTCCACTACATTAGTTCTGTTGTTGATGTACTAATGAATATAGCAGTCACCATTTACTCCCGACATCTGAGCAGCTGAAGACGTAGTGGATTACTTTTGTTTTTGAAGGGAATGCTTTCCCGATCTTCCTAAATGTGTTTATGTTTGCGCAATTCATTTTATACCAGACTGCTTTGTAAATGAGGGTCAGTACAAAGCAGGTTTTGCTAAAAAGTTGTTCCTGCAAGATGGATCGGTACCAACTGTTCATGATCTAGCTTCACCACCAGAAGAAGTGAGTATACGTTTTTATTTATGAATATTTGCAAATCGCCTTTCCTAATAATGTGCTAGTTAGCAAGTTCCATGACAAACACGACTAAAATTAACAGTCTCACACCGTGTCTACACCGGATGCGAGTGGCGCAGTGCAACAAAATACTGTAGAACTCATTATAATCAGTGATGCTGTCTACACTGGATGCGGCGCGACTGACAAATCCCCGAGAGTAAACTGCTGCCTCATTCTATTCATGACGTACTGACACAAAGTTCAAATGATTTGCAACGAGTGCTTTGTCGTGTCCACTACATTACATTAAGGTTGCCTTTGTAGAGGGTTTATAAAGGTGATTGTTAGTGACTAATAAGTCATTTACAAATGTATTTTAAAACTTTTGACCAGTTCTAACCGCATGAATAAGAATGGTGACTTTAATGCAAGAATGGGAGAAAAGGACGGGGTGAGCAGTAGCTCATTATCATTTAAAGGAACATGCACCGAAACGGGTCGCTGTGAACAGAGCAGTTTTTGACAAGGTAAAACGGCTGTTGTTTTACACTACCACAGATATTTTAACCCAAGTATGTTATGTTATAGACTTTTCATGAAGACCCTAAAGAATCATACCATCTTGTGAAAAATGGGCATCCAATATCCCCTTTAAATATAGTAGACAACATTTGAAAAGGATCAGAAAAGTTCATCAAAGTTGTCCTAAGACAAGAACGCATTTTGGTTTTAGGACAACTTTGATGAAAGGTTTTGATCCACTTCAAATGTTGACTACTGTATTTTGCACATATTGTATTGTATTTGTGTAGTTACTATTCATATTCATTTGAGATTTGAGCAGTCTGAGTGGCAAACATCCAGCAGTCAGGTGCTGAGTCACCTGTGCATTACCATCTAAACAATACGTATACACACCTAACGGCTTACAAACAGCCTGAGGGTAGAGATATTTCAGGAACCAGTTTTTTCAAGTCAACATTGACTTAGTGCTAATCAACTACAAAAATCTCCCATTTGTGCCTGCTTAATGTTTTTAGAAATTGAGCATTTGTTCACTTTGCATGAACAAAATGGCAAGATTCTCTGTTGGTAATATATTTGCATTGGGATGGGTTCTTAAAGGTGCTGTATGTAGGATTGACACCGAGTGGCTGAACTAGGTATTGCAGTCCAATTTCAAAATATTGGAGAGGGTTTTTTTCACCCGACCCCTCCTCCTAAGACTTGGCACACACAGGTTGCCAGATTGATGACACCAACAGGAACGAGCGCACTTGACGATGAATGAAATGAAATACGCTGTGTTTTCTGCCAACTGGCAACCCGGGGTGCCGAAATACAATTGGGTATACTGGCAGTGGGTGGGTTTCACAAACCAAAACAGACACCGACATTCCGGCCGGGAACGCACATTTTCAAAGGAGATTAACTGACTGTAGCATTGTTTTTCAGATAAACAAGTATGTTAACTTAGCATGTTTCTTAAATATCTGCAAACATATTATGGTATTTTTATGCTTTAGTAGAGTCAAAAACTTACATACAGCACCTTTAAACAAGCAACAAACAGAAAATAGGCCATCAGCACATGACACAAATTTCACTCTTTATGCTGTGTTTTCTAAACCAGTCTGTGTTGAGTTAGCATTAAAAACACAAATTCTAAGTTCAAGAGTAAAGAGACTGTCTCAGAAGGTTTTAAACTGAGCTTCTGTCTGAAAGCGCTGTGTTGGACTCACCCTCATTGACCTCATTGTTCTTGGCCAATTGCTCCAGTTCCCAGCCAAGGTGAGCTGACTCATTCATGCTTTGCTTCTGAGAGATCTCCAGCAACATGTTCTCCTCCAGCAACTCCTCTAGATGTTTCTTATCACTGTCCCTGTCCTAAACCACATATAAAACAGGAAAAATTATATACTTAGTGCTGGAAAAGAGTACTCATTCAGAGATTCAATGTGAGGTTTTCTCAAATGATTCAGCTTCAAAACTATTTTTTGAAAAAGTTTGGTAAGGTTGGAAGTCAATGTGAACAGGCTTTTTTTTAAACAAACTAAAATAAGTCACCAATATGACATTACATAATGCATGTTTCCACCCACAGTTGACGGAACAATGGCATTCCTGTGGTTAATTCCAAAGAACCCTAAAGTATCAAGTATCAAAGCTACATACCACATATGTTGGAAATGAATCAACTAGGTCTACAGTATTTTTTAATGCCCCTACATTACAAAACAATAAGATGTATCAAGGATTGTTTCGTAATAACATTGTGAATCAAAACCAATTTAAATTGTAAGGTGCATAAAGATTAACTTCCTCAACACATGCATATACACACCTCCAAAATAATCTCCCTTAACACTTACAATTTCCATATCATGCAATTTGGAGCGCAGCTGGAGGTTCTCTTTCTCTAGTTCGTGTAGTTTGTCACAGCGCCCCCTGGCCCCAGCAAGCTGCTCCTCCAGCATTGACTTTGTCTCCAGCAGGGTCATATTGTCCTCTCTTAGCTCCTGTGCACAAAAGAGAGACGAGAGAGAAAAATTAAGAGATGAGCAAAAAGAAAAGATCAAAAGGGATAGAGAGGATGACGACAGCAGACTGAGAGAGTCAGGGCGCTGTCAGTGGCAGCTCAGGGGCTCAGCGGACACCTGAGGCTTTATATCTGAGAAATAAAAGCAGCAGGAGCCCTCAGCATGCATCAGTCACCTCATAAAGAAACCAACCCTTCTGATTTTTTCCAGGTAATGTCAAAGATGTCCGGCTCTGTTTTTTATACAATGCTGAAGTCATTAAAATGGAAATGTAATATAGGTTGGTGAGTGGTTACCTCTATGCGCGTCTTGTAGAAATGGACATCATTTAGCTTCTCTTTGAAGCGAGACAGTTCGGTTTCCAGGCGATCCACTTTTCCAGCACGTTCCCTCAGAGCATCCACCTCATCACGGTACGCCCGCACTGAACGTGCCTCTGCCAGCAACTGCATGTTCTACTCACACACAAACACAACAGATGATAGCTTTCTGAAGCTCAGTAAAGTGCTTCCCAGTTTGAGTCAACCATGTGAAGTGTGAATGTAAGAAAACAGAGTCTTGATGTGATACCTCCTGCTTGAGTTTCTGCATCTCTGCATCCAGGCGCTCAATCTCGTTCTTGGCATCAATCAACTGCTCGGTCTTCTCCTCTCTGTAGAGAGCAAAGACTTACAACACTGATAGGCTACACTAGTGGACGACTAATATAACAGTGAACATTTAGTTTTTTTTTTTTAATTATCGCGTCAGCTGATTTTTATTTTTTTTTATTTTTTTTAAGTCAATAAGAGACAGAAGTGGGAATTTTATTTTGACAGTGCTGAGGCTGTCAGTGAAGGTAGCCGTCCCAATGAAGTTTGAAACCTTAATAAAAACAAGGTAAAACAAAAAGTAGTAACTATAGAGAACACACTTACAACTCTTGGCGGGAGCGCCGGAGTTTGGCCTTTGCGTCAGCCAGCTCCACAGCTAAATGCTGTCGATCTTCTTTAGACAGTAGGGTGACGGGGGATAGAGATGTGTGCTCAGGGCTGGGAAAGCCCAAGAGACTGGAAGGCTGCTGGGACTGAAGATAGTCCCTCTCCTGGGTCAGCTCTATGATCAGCTAATGACACAAAACAGACCTGTCAGCATCCAATCAGTGATGATCAATGGCTTAAGGAAGTTTAGTACTACTTCCTAACAAATAGATGATTGCTGTTGCTGATCGGCAAACCTCAGCAGACTCATCTCGCTCGTCTATGAGTTTGCGTAGGTGAAAGGCCATGGTCCGAGACAGAGGGTCCAACTGCTCAGCAGGAATCTCCCCGACTTCCATCCACTGCAGATCCAGAACATTCTCCTGGTTGTGAGTTACCTGCAATCATGAGGGATTTTGCACCTCAAATATAAGTTCTATATATTTAATATACACTCTAAAAAATGCTGGGTTGTTTCAACCCAATGTTGGGTTAGTCCATATTTGACCCAACATTGGGTTGAAACAACACAGCATTTTTTAGAGTGTCCTTAAGAAGTTATTGACTGAAATCAGGGAAGCTCACTTCTTGAATGTGCGTCACGATGGCGGCTTGTGTTTCAATTTCAAGCAGCTTGATCTTCTCAATCATTTCTTCTTTACGATCACACTGTTGGGAGAAATAAAGAGAATGAGGAAAAGTAGAAGGGATGGAAAGAGAAGGGGAAAGGGATGAGGAGAGGATAGAAAAGGGAAAAAGAAAGGGGAAGAGAATGAGAAACAGGATGGAGAAGTGAAGGGATGAGAGTGGGAAGAGGATGGGGAAAGAACCAGAAAAGGAAGAGGAAGGTATGGAAAAGAGAAGAGGAAGGGGAAGGCACGGGAAAAGGAAGAGGAAATAACTGAATGGGAAGAGGAAGAAAGAAGGGAAAGGGAAAGAGGAAAAAGAAGAGGAAGGGAAAGTATGGAAAAAGGGAAAGTTGAAGGAACAGAAAAGCTAAGAAGAGGAGGAAGGAACCGGAAAAGGAAGAGGAAAGCATTGAAAAGGGAGGATGAAGAAAGAAGGGAATAAGAAGAAAGAGGAGGAAGGGAAAGAATGGAAAAGGGGAAAGCAGAGAGGAAGAGGAAGGGGAAGGAACAAGAAAAGGATGATGAAAGAATTGAAAAGGGAGGATTAAGAAAGAAGGGAAAGAGGAGAAAGAAGGGGAAAGGAAAGTATGGAAAAGGGAAACGTTGAACGAACAAAAAAGCAAACAGGAAGAGGAAGGAAAATTGAAAGGGAAGAGAAAGAGATAAGAAAAGGAAAGGGAAAGGAAATGGGAGAATACACAGGGGAAATGAAAAAGGGAAGAGGAAGGAACCGGAAAGGGAAGGAGGATGAAGATGAGGAAAAGAAAGATAAAAGTAAAGGATGGGAAAGGAAAAGGTGAAAGAACAAAAAAGAAGGGGGGGAGGAAATGGGAAATTGTAAGGGAAGAGGAAAGGCAAATATTAATTGTAAAAGGAAAGGGAAGAGGAGGAGGAAAAATAAGCAGAGTTACAGTTTAAGACTACCACATATGTTGTACAATCCATATCACAAAGAAATAACTATTTTGTGTTTTTATGAAATCAACATTGCCCATGAATTCATTAGTATGCCTTAATGGTGATTAGTCAAATAAACTGCTGGTACAGATGAAAGAGTGGGAATTAAGTCAGAGATTGAGCCCCTCTTTGAATAAAAGAATGCTGGAGATACTTTCAAACGGGATAAAGACTTGTGAAGAGTTGTGTGCCTTGTGACTGGAATACTGTGAGAGGAAGTTATGGTGCAGGATTAGACCAGCTCAAAGAGACTATCAACAGGCAATTGTTACGCTGTGAAGTTTAAGGCTGTTTATTATCCATTCAGGAAAAAACAGAGATGGGGCTAAAAGTGTAAAAGAAATAGGCCTGTGCAGAACAGACACGTGAGGAACAATCCTCGGGAAAAGGAGGAGACATAAAAAACATCTTAGCAAATCGAACCCAATAATCTGTGCTGACTTCTCTGAGACATATCTGGATGAATGCTTTATTTTGTAGCATAATGAGTGTGTGTTCATTTTTCTCTGGAAAAGCAGAGGCATGCCCAGGCATGGATATGATTTCCTGCACTGGAGTTAAAATGTGGGTTGGGGATCTCTGCTAGTTCAATCAGTTTACCTGAACAGCACAGCCCAGTATCAGCAACAGCAGTCTCTTCACCTCCTCCATGCTTTTACCTGAGGGAATGAAATGGTTAGACATCACAAGAACTGAAAGTATGATACTATAAATGAAAGAAATAAACATTAATTTTAGCTAAAAAAAAAGAGGAAGCTGATACAAAAACTTTAGCAGACACCACTAGTTAAGACAGACATAGTGATTTTTAAAAAATTAAATAATCTGTTATGGTCCCACATTCCTAAATGACAACCCTGTTTACATATTGATTTCAGTGTTGCTATTGTTAGCTAAAAATACAACTGTTCATGTTAACGGGAATAAAGCAAGTTAAATTAAAATTAAATTAAAAAATCTAAAATTTACTTAAACTTAAATGAAAATTACAAATGTTGTCTGGGCAACTAAAATATTTACATTTATATTTTATAATAAAGGTTTAAGTACTAAAATGACTAAAACTAAAGCTGAAATAAAAATTAAAACAAAATATAAATATTTAAAAAACTAAAACTAATAAAAATGACAAAGGCCAATACCAAAATTACAAAAAATGTAAAACTTAATGAGAACACACAATATAAAAATAAAAGCTAAATTAAAATATTAATAAATATTATGATATTATATAAATAATACTAAAACAACACTGATTGGTCTATTATGACTGGTACTCAAAATGTGGGCATCAATCCAACCCTTAATGGTTAATGATCATTTAACAGTTGTAACAATAATCTTATCAGTTATGGTATTTTGGAGAAAACTATGTTTACCATGGTATAAGAGAATTGTATAAAAGAAGTCTTTTTTTCAAGTCAAACCTCACAGCTAAAGGGTCAATGCCATCACTGTTTAAATATCGCTCTAGCAGTTCGAATATTAACAAAATATTCAATTTCACCTGAGCGATACCCCTTGAAGAGAGGATGTAAGAAAGATATTCTCTTCTTTCTTCAACCATTAAATTAAACAAACATTCACATGCAGTCAGTGTATTCTTCATTATTCATTACAAAGCACACCAACTCTTTCACAATTACACAAACCTTTGAGATAAAGTTATTTTTAATTACTTTTTTGACGCTTGTGTCTGTGTGTTGGTGAGTTTGTTTACGTCTGGCAGTCTTAGACTAATAAATACTCTGGAGAGAATGGATTGGGTGTGGGGCTGCCGTCGCCATAGCGATCGTTTGTTGCTCAAAGCCTTCCCACCCTACAGCGTACCCCCTTTACACACACAGCAGAGGAGGAGTGATTGGGGTGATTTTGTAGGCGAGTACATCAGCATAGGAAATAAACAAATTACAAGCATAGATAAATATAACAGAACAAAGATACAAATGAAATAAGCAGTGCTTTATATTTTTCAGGTAAGTCTAATAGTATTCAGGTACAGAAATTGAATAATCAAATGTAAAATAAAACTGCATAGTCTTCACTGTATAAATTAAATCTAATAAATCTGTGTTAAAGCTACAAAAGTGATTTTTCTTTGTGTTTTGTTGTTTGATTAACATTCATAACACAGAAAGCCTAAGGAACATTAAACTACTGTAAACCAATATAGGCTACTGTTACACACATCCATTTTCTTTCTCAATTGTTTCCCTTCACCTAAGCCATAAGCAACTGCGTTTACAAGGATACTTGCAGAACACAGTATTTCAGGCACAAATAGACGCAGAAGTGAACATAATTCAGTGTTCACGTGCATCTGCGTGGCTCTCACCGTGTCTACACCGGACGCGAGCGGCGCGGCGCGACAAAATACAATGAACCCATTATAATCAGTAATGCTGTCTACACTGGATGCGGCGCGGCACGACAAATCCCCGACAGTAAACTGATGCCGCGTTCTCTTTATGACGTACTGACACAAAGTTCAAATGATTGGCAACGGTCGCATCCAGTGTAGAGAGACTTTGGGGCCGTTCACATATCGCGCCTAAAACGCGTGGGAAAACGCCAGTTGCGCCGCTTTCTCCTTCTTTCCAAAGTGCTCGGGAGCTTGCGCTTTTGTGGCGTCTGCCATTGTTAAGAAACCATGACCTGCGCTCTCCAAAATGACGCGGAAGTTTCAACAAAGGATAAATGGATTTCCAGCACTGAAAATCGCTTGCAGTAGCTCCGCTACTAAATGTATTTAAAATGGGTATCTCTGTACAGCTGTCGCGTCCATTGTAGACACCGTGCATGTGTGTGAGCAAAGAAAACAATCAGTATAAATATAACGATCAGTAGCCTGTACTAAACATTGCACATCCTGCGATGTGACTATCGCGGATGTGCACATCGCGATATCGATGCTGAAACGATATATCGTGCAGCCCTAATTACAAGTGAATCTCAATGTAAAAACACAAACATACAAGAGTATGTAACGTTGCACAGGGGGCACAAGATAAGAAACACATACACCAGAACACACAAAACCCATCCTGAAACATGTAAAGCTTTACTGACATCAGTGAAGTGGAAATATGTGACCCTGGTCCACAAAACCAGTCTTAAGTCGCTGGGGTATATTTGTAGCAATAGCCAAAAATACATTGTATGTGTCAAAATTATCGATTTTTCATTTATGCCAAAAATCATTAGAATATTAAGTAAAGATCATGTTCCATGAAGATATTTTGTAAATTTCCTACCATAAATATATAAAAACTTAATTTTTGATTAGTAATATGCATTGCTAAGAACTTCATTTGGACAACGTTAAAGGCGATTTTCTCAATATTTTGATTTTTTTTGCACCCTCAGACTCCAGATTTTCAAATAGTTGTATCTCGGCCAAATATTGTCCTATCAACAAACCATACATCAATGGAAAGCTTATTTATTCCGATTTCAGATGACGTACAATTTCAAAAAATTTACACTTAAGACTGGTTTTGTGGTCCAGGGTCACATATATTCATAATACAGCCAGTTTTTCCTGACAACATTACTTCCTAGCATTTCATGACCAGAATGTGGTCACAAGTAGCCTATAGAACAAATATGTGCTTACGTAAACTAATACAGCACCCAGGAGAAACACGGAATCTCAGACTGTTTTGATAACCTATCACAAGCAGAAAAAGACACCATAGCTATGATAAGGGTTATTTTTGTATATGCAAAAACATTCTAACGCACCAACCATGAGCAGAGAAGAAAATCTTGTCTATGCACATTTATAAATGTCAACCTGCAGATCAGAGTCACACCGCAATATAACAAAGACTTGTTTTCTACTGTACCATGTGGATTTTGGAGTAGACGTGCATAAGTGATCAGGTGTCAGGGTCACCTAATATGAAAGCAATTTAAATACAAACCTTACAGTACAAATAGAAGTTTAGTATAACTCCGTCACATTTTAAACAAGTAGTGATATCTTAACTAACATTCGACCATTCTGAAATTTATTAGCTAACAACATTTTCAAATTTAGTGTTCAATTCAGCATTTTTTCTACATCTCATTTGATTTTATATCTTTAATTTTACATATTTTATTACTTGATTCTGAAAGCAAGCATTCCAGAATTCTACTTTCAAATTTTTTTGTATAATGACTCAAGAAACTATATAATTGATGATAGCTCCAGACATGAGTTCCGACATAGCTGTTCTCTACTGTCAACAGCAGGATCCAAAGTCAGCGCTCAGGCCTGGGCTTGGTCCCAAAAAGCTTCCTCCTGCCATTACAAGGTCCACAACATGCATTTTCTTCCCTGAACCCTGTCCGTACACCCCGTATCAGAAGGTGAGAGGGTGTTTATGAAGGCTGGAGTGTGTGTGAGAGAATGAATGAGGAGGTTTGTTCAGCAGGGCGTACGTTTTGCTTTGGGGCACAGTTAAATGTGGTAGTAGGTGATTTATAGTGACTATAGTGAAGATACAGCAACTGATACAAATAGAAAGAAAATTAAAGTATGCTGAAAGTAGGGTGATTCTACAGAAAGAGTGTTGTCATATACATGTGTGTAAAAAATTAGCAATGAATAGCTGATGCTAACTTTTATTATACATTAATATAAACATTCTCGAAACAAAAACCCAGCAGGTTTATTTTTTTCTCTTTCCACTTCTTTTTTTCCAATTTCCTCTTGCACATTTTGATGAAAACAAATTATATGAAAGTAAAATTCTTTATTTTCTTATGACATTCTGTCTCCAGGTTATGAATCAACCCTGTTACTATCATATTTCCCCCTTTTAAAGCAGTGAACTATTTAATAAATAAAAAACATTTTTGTCATAAAGGCAAATATAATCATCACCTTTTGAACAAGCAAATACTTCAAGGCGTTAAAGTATCCCTTTATTATGTCTTGTTAGGTTTTTAAAGGGAATAATCTTAAAATGCCAACCCTGTTACCATGATTTTGTTAGTTAAGAATTGAAAACTTGATTTTGTAGAAGCACCAGCATTAAATTATTTTTCTAAAAAGAACCTTTTACATATTTTTTAATCTTATATGCCTAATTTCCAATTAAACTATAATACCATCAACCCTGTTAGCTTTATGAAGGTATACAGTACATGTATCCTAACATGTATTCCAGTTTTATTTTTCATATATATTTTTTATTTTAGAGTGTATTTTCTTAACACATTATATGTCTGATAGAATTTAAAAGTTCACTTAAAATTCACTGGAAAGACACCTGTTTTGTAGAATGATCTAGTGGCTTATTTACAGTATATGAGCAATACCTGATAATGGGTCCTTGGCGATGGCCAGCACATTGGGCAGGTTCATGAGGATGAGCTGCTGAAGATGCTCCTGAGAGAAAACAGAAAACATGCTCACTGTAAACAGGTAGACAACTTTGATGGCACCCTAAACATTTGACCTATGTAAAAAGACAACAGTGAGTGGCGAAGGAGGTATGGTTCAAGATGGCAGCCAGCCCGGGAGACGGACGGGTGTCAATATTTGGGGCGAGGACATAAAACAGGGTTGCTGGTAACGTGGGAACAGGAAACTCCTACTTACAAACAGACAGGCAGGAAATCAAACTGGAAATGGAAAACATTAGCAGTCCCAGACAAGGCAGGTCTTGGGTGGGGAACATCAAATTCTAGTACACGGGCAAAATATGAGCTAGGCAATATTTTAAAAAAAATCATAAGGAAAAAAGTGCCATCCAGAATTGAGGGCATAAATGTCTAGATATGTAGGACTGCATGTATGCCCATGTACAAATGGACTTGACTTCAGGCACAATGGCCTCCAGGGTAACTAAGCTCTGCAAAGTACACAAAGGACAAGACCAAACAGGTCCAATTGACCAAACCCTTCATTCCAAAACACACTTAGATAAGAGCACTGAAATCACTGACAGAATTACATACCTGATTTATTGTTTCTGTGCAACTGACAAGAAACTAGCCTATTTTTCAGAATAATTTCTGAAAGCTTACCCACAGATCATGAGGGGAATCCATATATGTATATAAGCTTTTTTTACACATAAAACATTACATTTTATTTTACACATTACATTACTTGTATGTTACATACATACATTTTCCTACTATTCCATAATGACTAAAATAGTCCAAGTTTTAAAAACACATGTAGAGTCCATTTTTTTCTTTCCATTCCATTGTGGTTCTTCTTGCTGTTTTTGAACGTAAAAAATCTTGCGTAAACCAGCCTGATTAGACAGGCAGCCGACTAGCTATTCAATCTTCAAAATATGTAGTTCTGCACATCCCTAGCTTCAACAAACCGAAGCAATGCTGTAAGCAAATGGACACACACACTCTCACCCAAATGCATGGCTACACAGCTAATGAGAAAGTGTGCTATCCCATTTGACATCATCAATCCCGGACCCCCTGCTGACAACTCCATCTCCTTCTCAGAGGAGTGACTCCCAGGGGAGGTCTTTGTGTGCAGAGACCAATGAAGACGCAACCCTCATCCAGTATAATAGAGCCAGCCAAGCTGAGGCCAGACCCAGACCACACTGCCTTTGTCAAAACAGAGGCCTGCGAGCATTCCTTTCTTTACTGCTGTCTTCTCACACATGCTCATTCACAAACACTGAGAATACTTCAGAAGTACCAAACCCAAAATTCTCTTTTATGTTCTACTTTGTCCATAAGTATGTAGAGTGCTGCAGGACTTTCAATACATCAATTTGAATGTTTTCTAGTGATAAACAGGTTAATTGGCAGACAAACTCTTTGAATTGTTATGAGATACATGACATGAGAACATATATCTGCTGATATTATGGACATCATAATAGGAACAAACCATCTTCATGCTTCATTTAAATATATGCAAGCAGAAATGGTATTTGTAAACTACGATGGAGGGATTTTCAGAGAATTATTACTTAAATTCAGAAGACTTTGAATAATCAGTGCACTGATATAACATTTTGCCAATATAAATGATTCATTATTTTTATACATGATAACTGAACAATATAAAAATTCTGTAAAAGTTGTTTAAAATAAAAAGTTGTTTAAATAAATAAAAAAATATGATCAGTTATTTAAATGTTACTGTCATTGGCAATATTAAATTATTAGTGTTAATATGTCAATATTATATTAATATTAATATGAACTATTAACTTTTTAAGATTTAGATGATAGGTGATGGCAAAGGTAGTCTAAAAAACACAAAAAAATATGGACATGAGCATATACAATTAAACAAATAGTGGACAATAAATATATCCAACATCAAATAATGCTAAAATATAAAATAAAATTCCAATGTTGAACAAAAAAAACAATATTGTACCAAGGTGTGGTCATAGGTCGAAATTTTGGTGAGATTTGCCGTCATCTACTTTCAGCAAAATTTTGTGGGCAAATCATTTTTTTTTTTTTGTATATTGTCACACAGAAATCACTTTCAAACCAAGCAACTTTCTGTTCAAGACCACCTTTTACCCAGTGCAAAATCTTCATGTGGAAATCTATTGCCCTCACATGAAACTCCAGAACAAATTCCTGATTATCAAATCAACTTGAAAAGGATTGAAATGAATTTTGCCTGTGGAAATACACTGAACAACAGTAAAAGTGATGCACCTGTAGACATATGGACTATTTTTACAGTTTGAAATTTGCTTTGTCCTTTAAAGAGTTCAAGAACCATGGACACAATAGACTAACATTGTTTGGAAATGAGCAGCATCAACATTCTGCTAAACTTCTCTTTTTAATGTATACAAAAGAAATAAAGACATACGGGTTTGTAGTAATATTTGGGTAAGAGTTTTCCTTTTTGGTGAACTACTCTTCAGAAATTCACTCTATTCCAAGTCTATTATATTGCAATGCATTTATACATCAGCTACCCTACTCTTTGCATATCAACATGAAAAAAAACCTAATGTTTATTTCTTTTCACTAAACGCAAGACAAACCTTAAAATCCACTTGAGTAGTCTTGTCGTTCCTGTATTTTCATGACCACTGATGCAAGACCACTTCTGAGATAATTGCACATTGGAACAAGCAAAGCACTCTGGGAAGAAACCTAAGTGTTTCTGACTGACAGCCAGTCTGGTGTGTATAATTAAATAAAGGAGCACGTTTCAACCTGAGAGGGGGAAAAATTCTCTTTACGGTGTTTGATTCGACAGCTGCACCGCGATGGGGTGTGTACAGTAGTGTCACGTTAAGCGTTCTCTCCATAAACACCTCATTCTTTAATTGCCAGTTAACCTGATCATTTCTGTGCTGTTAAATTAAAGCAGGCTAATTACTAGATTTGAGTCATATGCAAGACGAGGAGGCTTTCGTGCCAGCGTTAGTATCTGGTTTCAACTAACAGCTGAGGATGGAAAAAACGATGAAGGATCAGCTAACGCTTCTTGTCTGACAGAGACGGGCTTAGGGAACTTAAGGTGCCTACACCATTACAGATACATTACGATTGTAGAAACTACTGCAAATACACACAACAAAACAGGAAAGAACTTTTGTGTGAAATTAGGGCTGGACGATATGGCCAAAATTGATATCACGATATATTTCTTCATTTCGGTCGATACGATATAATTCCGATATCGATATGAACACTATTTATCTGAATTCGAAATCTTTTGTAACATTATAAATGCCTTTATCATCACTTTTGATCAATTTTAAGCATCCTTGCTAAATAAAAGTATTAATTTCTATAATTTCTTTCCCAAAAAATTAATAAAAATGATACTGAATGGAATAGTGTATAATGTTACAAGTTTTTTGAAATGTAATGTCACCACAAAGATAACTTTTCATCATAGCAGATAATAACAAGACAACACCGGCCTGGGTCTGCAATTGCATCATTACTGAAAACTACCTGCCTGAAGTAAATTATTGATGGGCATGTATCATCCATATCACAATGCCAACTAGGCGTTTATGAAAAGACTCTCATATTCTCTCTAAAGGCTGACATGACTATGAATGGAACACAAAATTGGAGGAAACTCAAAGCAAAAAGAGCCAATTTTGATTTCACAATATGGAAATATGGAAGTGTTGGTTTTGCCGACCTCCTAAACCTCACTCAGAATTCAAGCTGCATTTTCCTCTGTAAAATCAGGACAACAAAGGTAACCTCAGCATCTTCATGCTTTATTACGCCACAGGAACATCCACAAAAATGGTGGTTTGGCATATGTCTCATGAAGTCTTTGTGCAACTGGTCAGAATAGTTGGAAAGTTTCATAGAAACTTTCCTGAGGTCATTTCCTCTGTTGCTGTGTGGAACAATGCCTGAACGGTAAAGTAGGACAGGAGATCTTTGGCTCTGGGACTGTTTTCACTGAGGTACACACTGGTACCTGCCCAACCCCTGCTGGGTTCAGCATTACAGGCCAGTGCAGTCAACACACGATCATTATCTATATACTGGGAGCACGAGTTGGCATTCAGAATGTTTTTTTACACAAATCAGTCTAAACTACATGAAAACAAAATTAACCTAATTTACTTTCTTAATAAATGTTCTTGCACTTATTGACCATGTTTCATCAGTGCATGTTATTTTACAGAAAAATAAATATAGGCTATAGGCCTACGTTCTAAGTCATCCGCTGGATGCCACTCTCTCATGAACATGCATTCAACAGTTAGCTAGATTATGGTTTATAAAGTTTTAAATATGGATATTTTCTTGCACAAATGCATCGACTCACTTCAGAAGGTCTTTATAAACCCGAGGAGCCATGTGGAGTACTTTTATGATGGATGGATGCATTTTTAAGTGCTTCAAAATCTCAACCCCCATTCACTGACATTATAAAGACTGAAAGAGCCAGGACATTTTTTAATGTAACTCCGATTGTATTCGTCTGAAAGAATAAAGTCAGATACGTACAACTAGGATGGCTTGAGGGTATGTAAATCATGGGGCAATTTTCATTTTTGGGTGAACTATCCCTTTAAGTTACGTTATGCTTACACTACTGTACAAAGGTTTGGAGTCAGTACGATTTTTTTAAGAAACTGATCATTTTATTCAGCAAAAATGCATTAAATTGATCAAAAATGGCAGTCAAAACTTTTACACGGTTATAAAAAAATCTATTTAAAATAAATGCTGCCATTTTTTACTTTCTATTCTATTATACTCTATTCTATTCTATTCTGTGATGAGACATGTTTTTTAAGCATCAGCATAATAGAATGATTTCTGGAGGATCATGTGACACTGAAGGCTGGTGTAATGACGCTGAAAATTGAGATTTATTAACATAGAAAACAGGCCTAATTTAAATAATAATATCACAGTATTAGAATTTCCCTTGTTTTTTTT